GGGTAGGCAACCTTGGCTCTTTTATGACTCGTGGACTTCAACTCCCAGAATTCCTGAGCCAGCCATGCTGAGGGGAAAGGGAGAGGTTTCTATGCTGAGCCATGCCGGCTCAGGAATTCTGGGAGTTGAAGTCCACGAGTCATAAAAGAGCCAAGGTTGCCTACCCCTGCCCTAGGCCGCTTTGTGATTCGTGGACTTCAACTCCCAGAATTCCTGAGCCAACCATGCTGAGGGGAAAGAGAGAGGTTTCCAAGCTGAGCCATGCTGGCTCAGGAATTCTGGGAGTTGAAGTCCACGAGTCATAAAAGAGCCAAAGTTGCCTACCCCTGGTCTAGATGTTTAGCATTGACGATGTAACCTAGTTTGGATCGTGAAATGTCTGCAAGAAAACCAGCCAGCTCAAAGAGCACCAATGACTCCTTCGTTATCTCAGAAATCTAACACCAAACCCCCATGGAAATTGATGATATCAGGAAAGGCCTCACAAATCAAGGCACTCTAAAATATAGAGAGCATTCATCCTGGGAATTCTGGCAGAAATAATCTCAGCACTTCTGGAGGTCACAAAAAATGAAGAAGGTCAGTTTGTAAAACTACAAACTAAGTAAGAATTTATCAGTGCAATATTTGAGACAAAACAAAGGGTTCTCATATTGTTTGTGACTTTATTATCAAGGTCATTATCATTAGAAAGACAGTGAAGAATCTCAGGGTTAGATTAAAAGGAAACAAGAATCTCAATTCCCATTAAGGTTACTTTTCTTTGTGGGAAAAAAAAATAAAATGATAATATTTAAACAGATTTGTTAGGGTTTTTTTTTTTAAAAAAACCCTCAAGTTTATGTAGACATTGGGCAGAAGTGTTTTCTGAACTAGAAATCTAATATTTAATTATTTTAGACATTCACAATTCAGTGGTACCTTATGATTTGCCATTTATATCTGAGTCTTTTTCACAGAAAACTCCATTGGTTTTGTCCTTTGTCAGCTTATTCCTCCACAGTTAATTTAAATAAAACGTAAAAAACAAAGGTTTAAAACTACATTTCACTTGATATTAGTGGGAACCTTCCAGTTTTTTTCCAAAGCAAAATGAGAAAGGTCAGCTACTGCAGATAAACTGCTGATAACTACTTCTTCTTCTTTTTTTTTTTTTAAAGCAAAATATCAGAAATGCCATTTGTCATGACAAATTATGCATTTCAGCCTGATTGTGAATACTGAAAGCATTTCCTCTCAATTTATAACATTATCCTCCTGGTGATATGCTGAATGAAAAATGACATAAAGCCAAATTAGAGTTTTGCATGAGCGCATAAGAAGTTGTGTGTGTGTGTATGTGTGTGTGTGTGTGTAAAATATGCATTAATATAGAAATAAGGAAAAGTAGAAAACTGAAAGGAAAAAAACAAGAAAGCCCAAGCAGAAATCTAGAACCTCAGACAGGTTGGGGAGGCCAAATATATTGGCAAAAGTTTTATCTGAAAAGGCAGCACCCTTTGAATCCAAGACAAGAAGCAACAGATGGAAATTAATCAAGGAGAGAAGCAATCTAGAACTAAGAAGAAATTTTCTGACAGTCAGAACAATTAACCAGCAGAACCGAAATTGCCTCCAGAAGTTGTGGGTGCTCCATCACTGGAGGTTTTTAAGAACAGACTGGACAGCCACCGGTCTGAAATGGTACAGGGCAGGGGTAGGCAACCTTGGCTCTTTTATAACTCATGGACTTCAACTCCCAGAATTCCTGAGCCAGCATGGCTCAGCTTGGAAATCTCTCCCTTTCCCCTCAGCATGGCTGGCTCAGGAATTCTGGGAGTTGAAGTCCATGAGTCATAAAAGAGCCAAGGTTGCCTACCCCTGGATAGGGTCTCCAACTTGAACAGGGGGCTAGACTAGAAGACCTCCAAGGTCCCTTCCAAACCTATTATTCTGTTATTCCTGATGGCAAATTGGTTCAATAATTTAACAGTTTCTCCTGAATTTTCAGCGCGTAGGTCCAGCTTCTTCTCAGATGAAGGAAGTGTCTCCCACCCACCCAAATGTAAATCCTCATCCAACCTGTCAGGATGCAGAGGGTCTATCTCTCTCTCTGAGGCTGGGAAGAAGAAGACTCTCAGTGCAAAAAAATATAGCAGCCATACTGTGCGACACACCCACATTTCACTCTATCTTGATGTCACTGCAAACATCATGTGACTGATGTGGCCAGTGCAAAGTACATTCATTCCTATGACTGCATGATGACAGAGTCACTTGTCCCACAGAGTCACTCCTGCACATGTTGCTAACTTTGATGAGACCAAAACTGATTGGGAAACGTCCTCCAAAGGGGGATAGCCAATGAAGGAAGCTGGAAGGAGACTGTGGATCATTCACACTTTGCAGCCGATGCGGCACCTTGGTGGATGGAAGTAGGATACCACTTTGTGGTTTTCTTTCAAAGAGGTGTTTCGATCGAAGCCTCAATGGAGCAAAAGCCTTGGTTGACAATTGGGAGATTAATTCTGTAAAGAATAATCTCCTTTTCTAGGAAGCTGAGTAACTGAAACTTCTCAGGAAAAACAAAAGAAGAAACTGGATTCCAGTCTAACTTCAAGGAAACTGTGCAATGCACCAGTGATGGGGGGTGGGATTCAAAGTGCTGCTTGCACACTCCCACTGGATGGGATTGAGCAGTTGGGCATCTTGGAAGTCTCCTCCATTAGAGGAAAGCAAATGTCACATCTGTGGGCCTCCTGCGGTTTGAAGGGTAGCAACTGCATGAGCTGCAGACTCCCCTGGGACTGTAGAAGTAATTATGGAATTCTTGAGATCTTAATCATGATAAATAATGGGAATATTGTCAAAAGTGGGACAGCACTAAGAAAAAAATCCTTCTTGGCTGGCTCCAGGGAAGGAAGACTAGACCATAGTCTTTGAAATTCTAGGAAATGTTATATATATATATATATATATATATATATATATATATATATATATATATATATATATATATTTTTTTTCTGAGGTTTTCGCGGGTATTTGTATATAGGTCTTTGGTTGTTCGGGTTTTCTCCCGCGTAAAATTGGAAGTGTCTTGGCAACGTTTCGACGAAGTCACATTCGTCATCTTCAGGCTGGTGTTTTTAGCTTCTTGCTTTGAGCAGCAATGTGTGGTTTTAGCTGTTTCTTCCTTTTAACTGCCAGTGAGGGTATGAACTGATTGGATGGGAGCTTGGCTGTGTTCTGATTGGGTGGAGGTGTGTTCTGAATGGTTAGGGGCTTGGCTGTGCTCTGATTGGCTGGGGGAGTGTTCTGTTTGGTTGTGCTCAGGTTAGTCTGAGTTGCAGAGGGGTTTAAGATTTTGGGGTTAGGGAGTCGTTTGTCAATAAGGGCAGGTTTCCAAATGGCTGGTAGGCGGGAGGTATCATCTCGCTTGTTCATGCTGTGTGGGCGTTTTTCTATCTCGATGGCTTCTCTGATTATTCTGTTATTAAAATGTTCACTTTTGGCAATGGTTCTGGTATTTTTAAAGTGATATATATATATATGTCACTATAATATACATCTACATCTCTCTCTCTCTCTCTCTCTCTCTCTCTCTCCCTCCCTCTCCCTCTCTCTCTCTCTCTCTCTCTCACACACACACACACAGATACACACCCACCTACACACACCCACACCCATACACACACCCACACCTTTACACACACACACACATATATATTTGTGTCTGTGTGTGTATATGTGTGTGTGTGTGTATAAAGGTACAGGTAGTCCTCGAGTTACAACCACAACGGAGCCGAGGTGGCGCAGCAGTTAGAGTGCAGTACTGCAGGCCACTTTAGCTGACTGTGTTCAGCAGGTCAGCGGTTCAAATCTCACCGGCTCAAGGTTGACTCAGCCTTCCATCCTTCCGAGGTAGGTAAGATGAGGACCCAGATTGTTGGGGGCAATGTAAATATATATATATACATTGCTTACTGGTGTACACCGCTTAGAGAGTGCTTGCACTTAAAGCGGTATATCAGTCTCATAAATAAATAAATAAATAAATTTATGTTGCTAAGTGAAACATTTGTTAAGTGAGTTTGCTCTATTTTACGACTTTTCTTGCCACAGCTGTTCAGTGATTGTGTTTGTTAAGTTAGTAACCCAGTTGTTAAGTGAATCCGGCTTCCCCCATTGACTTTGCTTGTCAGGTCACAAAAGGGGATCACTTGATCCCGGGACATTGCGACCATCATAAATAGGAGTCATTTGCCAAGCGTCCGAATTTTGATCACGTGACCACTTTCCTCCCCCCTATGTGTATGTGTATATATATCTATGTTTTCATTTTCTTTCCTCCCGCTTCATTCTCCCTGCCTTTTTTATTTTTTCTTTCTCATCTTTTTCTTAATATTAGTCTTTAATAGTATATATATTATATATACCGTATTTTCCAGCGTATAAGACGACTTTCTAAAGCGCGGAAATCGGCGCTGAAGTCGGGGGTCGTCTTATACGCCGGAAATTACGGTAGTTTCTGGTGGATGACTTTCTAGGCATGGAAATCGGCGCCCAAGTCGGGGGTCGTCTTATATGCCGGGTCGCCTTAGACACCGGAAAATACGGTACATATATATAATAGGCGAAGCTGAATGAAAGAAGAATATAGCCCAACTGCTATGAAAAAGTAACAGGGAAGGAAAATTACGGGGAAGCGAGCTGCAGGGAAATCGGATTACTTGGGTTAATTAGAGTGTAGCAAAGAGACTCTCTGCTTCTCGGTGACTGGTAATTAAACTGGCTGCTTCTTAACTTCGTTATCAGCTATGAAAATATTTTAGTGCCCAAATACAGCTGGCTTGTCACATTAAGAGTGCAGGACCAGCTGGATGAATTCTAGACTTTATTAGTAACCCATATTATGATGTGTAGACTACTTAAGGGGAAATTATTCTCTCCCTAGGGCAATTTGTATTTATTGAGGAAACAACGCGATGGGTTTATTTTACAAAATCCATATTGCTCACCTTGCAGACGCGGCCCACGTAGGACAGAATGGCCCTGTCGGAGGTGCTGCTCTCTTGGGAAACTTCTCGGAAAAAGAAATAGATTTTGTCATCGTCCGGATTATACGTGTCTGGGATAGGAAAGATTCCAATAAACTTCGCTCCTAAAAGAAATAAAAAATAATAGGAAGAATGGTAACACCATTTAATTGTATTTTCTCATGCTTTAAAACAGTATTCCTCAACCTTTTCAATTTTAAGGCATGTGGACTTCAACTCCCGTTGCTGGCTGTGGAATTCTGGGAGTTGAAGTCCACATGCCTTAAAATTGTCAAGGTTGAGAAACACTGCTTTAAATCCATCGAGACGTTGGCAAAACAGCTTTAAATTGATGTATTTCTTCACGTCTTCTTCCTCCTAACTGAATTTTTGTCTAGAATCCAGTACTGAACTTGTACAGATAATCCTTGGCTTACCACCATTTGAAGTTACAACAGCAGTGAAAAAAGTGACATATGACAGGTTCCCCACAGTTGTGACCATTGCATCCCTACAGTCATGTGATCAAAATTTGGGCAACCTCACTTTAATGTCTTCCTTTAATGTTATATATTAGCAATAGCACTAGTAAAAGCCCTTAGACCGGGGGTAGGCAACCTTGGCTCTTTTATGACTTGTGGACTTCAACTCTCAGAATTCCTCAGCCAGGGTGCCTGGCTCAGGAATTCTGGGAGTTGAAGTCCACATGCCTTAAAATTGTCAAGGTTGAGAAACACTGCTTTAAATCCATCGAGACATTGGCAAAACAGCTTTAAATTGATGTATTTCTTCACGTCTTCTTCCTCCTAACTGCCTTAGACTTATGTACCACTTCACAGTGCTTTACAGCCCTCTCTCAGCGGTTTACAGAGTCAGCCTGTTGATCCCCAACGATCTGGGTCTTCGTTTTACCCACCTCGGAAGGACGGAAAGCTGAGTTGACCTTGAGCTCCGTCAAGATTGAACTCCTGGCTGTGGGAATGCAGAGTCAGCCTGCAAACACTGCCCTCTAACCACTGTCCCTCCACGGTTCTAAAATATTATTTTAATATTGAAAATCAGGTCTGATTCTCAGCACCACCAGCCTAACAAAATGGCTGGGGACCTAGGATGAGACATAGAATGTAATTATTTGCTTTACCGCACTTCATTATACTATAGCTGCTTCCACTCATTGAAAACAAAACCTATATAAATCTAAATCTGTGATTCTACTGGTGCTTCTACACATATGTGTCTAACATGCAGTTGCATGTGCTCTTAACATAGAACTGAATGGGAGACGTTGGGATCTGCCAAGTTACCTGCAGAAAAATGTCACTAAGATCCCTCTCTCTGCAGACCTGTTCATGACCACATCCAGCAAAACCACGTTCTGAAGCAACGCGTCCCACAGCAGCAGGTTAAGCCTCTTACCGTTTAGCCAGTAGTGTTCAGACATGTCTGTCCTGATGCAGTGTTGGTCTTGCGATGTGCCTAGAGATCGGCTCAGTGCCGTGTCTTTGCCCAGGAAATCTGAGGCTGTTCCAGAGTAAAGATACCCATCTGCAAACAAATATTATTTTAAGATCACAGAGCAGAGATACTGAACTTGAAACTGTTTCTCAAAGTGGCACATCTTGGTCCTTAATTGTCAACCTCAGAAGTGTTTTGTGCATTTCCAAAACAGCCTTCTCATTATTTCCCCAGGGAGATAGGACTTTGCTTTCTTTTCAGAGAAAAATCACATTGGGTGGGTTTTGTTTTTTTTCCCCCTAAGCAATCAATCATTTACTGTAAACTGAGTATTTTGCTGAAGAAACAAGCTGTTGTGCTGGTCACTTTATAACTTTGTCCCTGGGATGGTGCAGCCTTTTTGTAGTGCCTTATACATGGTAACCTAATATTCTTTGTTCGTGAATAATGTTCAGTACAGCTCAAAAGATACATAAAACCTTTGATTCATGAACACTGGAAAAACTGTTCCAGCGTTTGGGATTCAGAAAACACAGGGCAGCCAAGTTCACAGCCTTCCTCTTAAGGATTCAGAAGCAGAACAGCTCCATATTTGGAATTTTCATCTGCTACTTTCAGTCAATACGAACAAAAAAGGGATATCCAGAGGTGTATGTCTATGAGATTCTCAGTCATTCAGGTCCTGGTAACTGGGCTTTGTTTTTTCTTGAAGACGTTTCGCTCCTCTTCCAAGAAGTTTCTTCAATTCTTTGGTTCGGTTCAGTTCATTCTTCGGAACTGAAGAAGCTTCTTGGATGAGGAACAAAACATCTGCAAGAAAAAACAAAGCCCAGTTGCCTTTTGAAAAAGCGGTGTGGATAAAAATAAAGTTAAGATTGTGCCCATGATCACACAACTGCATCTCCATCCCAGTTGTGGATAATAATAATAATAATAATAATAATAATAATAATAATAAAAAAAATAGAAATAGAAAGACTGTGGCAAAAGCAAGCAAGGGTAGTACCAATAGTAATAGGCTCCTTGGGTGCAATCCCAAAACAACTGGAGCACCACTTGAACACCATTGGCATTGACAAATTCGCTATTAGTCAATTGCAAAAGGCGGCCTTACTAGGAACCGCCTCCATCCTGCGACAATATCTGTAATACCATCCAACATCCACATCTGCCTATCCCACGTCCTTGGGAAGGACTCGATAGGCAGATAAAATGCCAAATCCAGTCTGAACATCTGGCTGACTGTGCAATGATCTATCATCATCATCATCATCATCATCATCATACTCCATTGGTGTTGGGCAGCTAATAAATTTAAAATCAAAAACAAGCAAGGGAGAGATCTATAGCTCTCAATGCAGTGTGGTAAATGTTACAACATTACAAAATATTTTTTTGCTGCAGCATAATTAGTTTTGATGATAGTTTTCTCTAAACCAATTGTTGCTGAAAAATCAGAACTTAAACTAAAAGATCAACTTTCATAGGATCAAAAAGGCTACAAACCATAATGCCTGAGTTTAAAGAACAAAAAGAAATCCACGAATTCATATATGGATGATTAATCTTTCACTTTTTCATATTTTGCATACCACTTTATTTGCACGGGAGCACACGACACACATATATTTTTATGCGTTTATGAAGAAAGCTTGAAAATACATCTGATGTATTTTCAAGTTTGCGGAAATTATTTATATCTATCCAACCTTCCCAAATAATTAGGACCATCAAGGCACTTAACAGCTCCTACTCTAGACTCAAATAGTAAGATAAAAGTATTAAGATGTACAGAGAGCCAGTATGGTCTAGGACAGAGGTCCCCAACCCCCGGGCCACTGTGGCGTTTTTGGAATGTCACATGAGTGGCTGGCCACAGCATGCACACACATAGCTCAATTTGCATGAGTGGTGGGCTGGTGGGCACTCACATGTGTGCCTGCCAGCCCACCGCTTGCGCAAGTCGAGTAGTGCACATGCACACCAGCCCACCACTCGCTCCGCCCAGTTCCGTTCCCCCCCAGCTGGGCCGCCAAGCTGCAAAGATTAGGGACTGCTGGTCTAGTGGTTAAGGCATCAGATTAGAAACCAAGAGACCATGAGTTCTGGTCCTGCCTTAGGCACAAGCTAGATCAGTGATGGTGAACCTTTTAGAGACCGAGTGCCCCAAAACCACCCCCACCCTGCCTTGCATGCTCTGCCAACCCCTGCCCCATCTCCGCCCCACTGCTGCCTTGCCCACCGCTTCCACGGCCTGCTGCAGATTGCCCAGGCAGCCCAGCAGTGCCATGGTAGCCACGCCTTCCATCCGTGCCCCACAGCATCAACTGCACGCGCAGGGGTGCAAGGGCGGAGTCTTGTCCCTGCTGCCCAGCTGCCATGTCCTTGGCTGCGCTGCTTTTTGCAGGCCATGCTCGGGGGCGACTCTCCTCCAGGGGGCTGCTGGTAAGGGGAGGGCCACTGGAGGAGGTGGGGCTGGGGCAACGGCACATGTGCCCACAGAGAGAGCTCTGAGGCCACCTCTGGCATGTGTGCCATAGGTTCACCACCACTGAGATAGATAGATGACCTTAGTTCAGTCATCTCTCTGAACTCTAGGAAGGAGCTGTGGCAAACCACTTCTGAAAAAAAAAACTTGCCAAAATGTCTTCAGGGTTTATCAAGACAGTCACCAGGAGTCAACTGTGTGTGCATACACATTGAAAAGAGCAGAAGGACAGGATGGAGAACGATCTTTCTCCAATAGTGCCAAAAATGACTTTGGGTGTTTGGAAGCACCATTGAAAGAGATTTCTTTCTGATCTTCAAGTCCAGACAGAGTCACAGTGAGAAATAGACTCCCTAAGGCAGTGGTGGCGAACCTATGGTACGCGTGCCAGAGGTGGCACTCGGAGCCCTCTCTGTGGGTATGCGCACTGTTACCCCAGCCCCACCTCCCCTCATGGCCCCCTCCTCACTAGCAGCCCCCCTGGAGGAGGGTCACACCCAGGCTCGGCCTTCGTGGAGTAGCACAGCCAAGAACATGGCAGCTGGGATGCAGGGACAAGACTCCGTCCTCATGCCCTTCGTGTGTAGATGCTACTGCGGGGCGCGGACAGAGGGTGTGGCCGCCATGGTGCTGGGCAATCTGCTGTGGCAGGCAGTGGAGGCGGTGGGTGGCCCTGTGGGCAGGTGGGGTGTGAGCGGAGTGGGGGGCGGCAGGGGGCGGGGCGGTTTTTGGCCACTTGGCTTCTAAAAGGTTCGCCATCACTGTCCTAAGGTCTCCCTCCCTCAATTCCATACCTATTGAAATCTCATACACGTACAACAATTTTAGGAGGAAAATTATCCATGTAAGCAAAATTGTCTCTGTTGATTTTTACACACGTCTGATCTTAACTTATTAAAACATTTCTTGGCTGGCATTTGTGGATAATTTCTTTTTCCATAGTCATGTAATGGTAAAACAAGCCATTTTTATCCAGGATAAATTTCCAAAATTAACGCTTTAATCATCCAGTCTGAGTAAATGGGTTGAGAGGAAGAGAAATTGCACTTGGAGGGACTAATCAAGAGCCTTGGTGAGAGAGAGAGAGAGAGATGAATAGTTTGCAGAACAAAAATGCACAGAAGAATACATAGAAACGAGAGAAGGAAGGAATGTTTGCAACAACAGAAATTAAGGGGAGGTGGAGCCAACAGCATGGAAGTAAACTAGAGCTGCATTTATTTTCCTTCTCTCCTGTTTTTATTTTTTCCCACTTATTACTTCCTGCTTTCCCCCCCCCCCCGCTTCTTGCATATTGTTGCTTATCCTAAAGAAACACTACTATGGGTGTGTACTTGTTTGTGTGCTTTGTTGATGCTACTATATCAACCTTCTTCAAATTGATTTCCTGCAAATGTTTGGATGACAGTTTGGAGATCAACCAAAATATCTGGAGGGCATCAGATCAGCTTGGGTGTTCAGAGGCAGTTTGTGCAATTTATATTTGAAGCATCAAGAAGGAGTTCTAGTTTCCCGGACTTTCTTAACATGCTTTATCTTTTTCTATCAGTGGCTGTGGCTGATGGGAAGGAAGATAGGAAGGAAGAAGAAAGGTAGAACATCAGGGTCCAGAAGAAGCTACTTCAGCAAGGTAAAACAAGAAACTATTGTCCAACCTAGTGGTTTCCAGGAGAATAATAATGATGATGATGATGATGATGATGATGATGATAATAATAATAATAATAATAATAATAATAATAATAATAATAATAATAAAGTTGGAAGTGACCTTGTAGATCATCTAGTCCAACCCTCTGTCAGGCAGGAAACCCTATAACATTTCGGACAAATGGGCTATCCAGTCTCTTCTTAAAAACTTCCAGTGTTGGAGCATTCATCGCTTCTGGAGGCAGGTTGTTCCACTGGTTAATTGTTCTAACTGTTCTTATTTCCATAAATTATATCTTGCATGAATGGAATGGAATGGAAGGGAAGGGAAGGGAAAGGAAGATGTATACAACAATGATTTTCTTCCTATCTATGGTGCTTGAACAAGTCCAATTTTCTTTTTCTCTCTCTCTCTTTCTCTCTCTCTCTCTCTCTCTCTCTCTTTTCTTTCTTTCTTTCTTTCTTTCTTTCTTTCTTTCTTTCTTTCTTTTTCTTTCCTTTCTTTCTTTCTTTCTTTTTTCTTGCAATAACAAAAACACATTCTAGCAAGTAAAAATCCATAATGAAGAATGAATAGCATAATGAAAGTCTGCCTATTGACAGACAGACTAAATGATGGATAAGTCAAAGGGCTAAAAGAAGGAACCCATCCCTGCTTTAACTTTTGATGACAAGGTCCTTTCAACACCAGGCTTCTTCTTTGTTCTCCCACACGTCTGTTATTTTGTGTAGACCACTTGGGAAAAGGTTGTGATTAAAAAGTAAACTTCAAATAGAGGGAAAGCATCAGCAGCAAAAAGTGCTACGTCTGACATGCGAGAGTCAGCTTTTGAAAAAGAGAATCCAGTCAAGGAAGGATTCATATTATATGGCTTAATTTGGCATCATTCAATTAGTGTTTGCCCTTTTTCAAGAGTAGTTCTCACAATAAACACCCACATGGAAAGAAATTGTGAAAATTCTCCAGAAACGTGAAAAGCTTTTGAAAGAGGAATTTATTTGGTTTTTTTTTTTCCCTGACACTTCTGTGGTCTGTCTCTCCACATATAAAAAAACCTGAAGATTAAGGGCTTGGTTTATATTTTACCATGGCTGCAGGGAGTCTACTTTAAGCTGCACTAGCTCTGACTGGGGTGGAAAGTTCCTCTACAGCTTTCGTGGAAAGCATGAGAGGTTCCCAATCCAGATGTTTGTGGTGATGTACTGAAAGCTTTGCAGGCCACAATAGGAGCACTCTACCATCTTAAAACAGTTTATTATAGGATGGCATGTGGAGGCCTTTAATTTGAGTTGGCCAAGGATAAGGAGTGCAGGGTCAAGCTAAAGTCACAAACAACCTATCTCTAAATCACAATATAGAATGAATGTTTTCCAATCCAGATCTCCACTGCTTCTTGAATTAAAACTGGAGAGTTCAATTGAGTTAGAAATAAGCCCTGAATTGGAGAGACATAGTGAGAAGACATCCATCTCTTTGTAAGCCTCTCCTCCTCCTCCTCCTCCTCCTCCTCCTCCTCCTCCTCCTCCTCCTCCTCCTCCTCCTCCTCCTCCTCCTCTTCTTGCCCTTCTGGTGGACTCGACCATTGTTAATTGATATTGTTGTAGTGATCTAATTAGATCTGTACTGATCTAATGCACTGCCACAAATTCAGATTCCTTGCTTTTTCCAGGCAATCCAAAGGTGCCAACTGTGTCCCAAATGTGGGGAAAGAGGTGAATGTTACATCTACAGGCCATTCTTAAAAGGAATTTGGGGTCCTTTCAGAGGGTGACTAGAAAAACCAGGATTTATTGATTATGATTTGCAAATCATCAGTATTGTGGCCAGTATCAGCAAGAAGCTGGAGCCCAATGGTTAATGACGTAATGGGCAAATTGTGTATCTCTAAGAGACATGATATCCTAACTGCAAAATAATCAGCTTTAAGGATGCTCATGCAATCCTTAATTCTTCTTTAAATGGCTAGCTACCTAGCTAGCTAGCTGGCTTTGGATTAATGGTATATAACCAGGCTTGCCTAATAAAAGTTAAATTGTAATATATAAACAGATCTGGTTGCTTCTGACAAGCTTTTAATGTGATTTTGTTTACCAGATCCTGCTATAATCTGTTCTGTTGTGAGGAGATATATTATTATGTGTACATCCAGGGTGCAGCTTACGGGATATGATTCAATTCAATTCCACCCTGTGAACCATAAATTTCCTTCTCCATGCATGGTTTTGTTTTGAAGCTTGACTAGTGGATTTCTATCAGTTTTAAGACCAGAGAAAGGTGATTATATTTAATTGGCAAAGACTCATTCTCAGATTACGGGATTTTCAGTTCAGTTTTCCGAATCTCTAGTATTAGAAACATACTTTAGGAAGTGAATCAGAACTTAGCTTTATAGATTCAGCTTTAGTTATCTTAAGCTTCCACTAATTCAACTCTTTAAAATGTCATCTGCCCTGTGACATTTCCAAAGAGGACAAGATATCTTGAGAAATTTGCTATCTACTGGAATCTCATCAAGAAAAGAAGGCTAGAGATTCTACCAATAATCATTTAAAAAAAAATCTTTGAAAAAGTAAGGCATTTGAAGATAGACAATCCCTACTGTTTTGGGTTCTTTCTTTCTTTCTTTCTTTTTTAAATAATGGATGACTTAGACCTTAGGAAGGTCAAGATTCAGAATTATCCACCTCATTATCAGAGAATAAAGGGCGAATATTTATCATATTCTCTTTTTGAACTGTGACCAATCCTTCAAAGAAACAGACTATAACATCTCTTCTGCCATAAATTAAACAGGAAAAAAATGTCAGGTACAGTTCTTTTTATCTTACAACAAGATATTATAACTTGATGGACAAGTTAAATGAAACTGGGCCAAAAAAAAAAAAAAAGTAGAAAAGGGGCAGTGTGTCAAAGAAAATTCTTGCTAGCGTTGAAGTGAAGAGATTAGTCTAGCATTCCAGGATGGCAGATATTTGACTCCACCAAATACAATTCTAAGGCAGGAAGAAGACAGAGTGATATTGTGCTTTGACATTGTGCTTTAGGCTAGGATTTTAACAATACAATAAGGGCAAGCTTTTCTTCCACATGAAATGTACTTAGCAAAGAGACTGAAGAATACAAATACAGCCATGTACAAATACAAGCTAGGATTTGGCCAGAGAATTCTTGGACTTGCATTTTTTTCTGCAAACTTCTCTGATTTGCATTGGAATAGCTGTACTTCTCTAGTTTTGCAGTGTAGTTCTCGGATTAAAAAAAACAAACACACCAACAGTCATACATGGGGCACAGTCCAGACAAAAATGTATAGATTCGTCAATATAGACAAATCGGTATTGAAACCTGAGCCATAGTAGACACTCAGACAGGCTTTTAAAGAAGTTAAACAGACACAAAAAATGAGGCTAAAAAAACATCGTGTGAAATGGAAAGATTCGGCCATTCCTAAATTGAAGGGTTGGGTAAATTCATCTCATATTTTTTTTAGCATAACGAATCTGCAGGCAGATCACTGAATTTTGATTCTTTCCAAACCTCACAGTCTTAATATCCTTTCCCCTGGAGTTTCTCAGAAGCTAATCTACAACACTATAGTTGAAAAAGCTTTGTTCCATCATTGATCAATAGTCTTAGATGCTGTTCTTCAGGATGTGACTTTAAGGCTACAAAGAAGGTCAGTTATAGTATTTATGCCCTCATGATCCAATTCTTAATATTAAATTCTGGTAGAACATAACAAACCAATTGTATTTCCGTTGCTAGGCTTAAGCAACAGATTTCGTACACTTCAATTGTGTTAATCTCTGAATTTGAATGGTGCAGTTTTCCTATGCCTACATGAATAATCTTAATCAACCATTTATAACAATCTCCTTAAAATAGAGTTTATTTTAAAACAATTAATATTTGTTTATATGCAGTCTAGATTGTCAGATGGCCATACATTTTAAAATCTTAATATTTGCAATGGAAGCTAAAAGTGTATTGCTTTCTCTCTCTTCTCCAAGTCCTTATAGATAGTACAAACCTTTGTTCTATGCATGGATATTTATTTGTTAATTGGTGAGGTTTATGCCCAGCATTTTTAGGAGCTCAAGATGGCTTCAGTGATAGAAATTGGCAGGCAGAGCATAGCAAGATGTATCTTCCAAGATAATTCAAGAGATCAGCCAAGCAGGTGTTTTCGCAAGCTGCCCTAGAAACTAGAAAAATCTACTGAGCTTGCAAATGTTCTCTAGCTAAGGAAAGCATCTGCTCTTCTGATTATTTTTACATGCAGTGCAATGAAAGGCGTCTGCTGCTCACTCATGAAGCTTCTCAGGAATATGAATTACTAAACACATCTGTGAGGCCGTACCAGGAAACACTGGCCTTACTCCAAAGTTTTCACTTAATCATAACTAAACAGTATCATTTTACTGTAACAAATATGATATGATGTTTTATTGATTATAATATATAGACCCTTCCAGCCCTGCAAGGAGGACATGCTTCCAGAACTTTCCTTCCCCCATCTGCCCCCTAATATATTTCCAAGGAAGGTATCTTGCTCCCATAATGTACACTGATTAATAATGATCAATCTGAGCAGGTAAGCTGAAAGGAGATGCTTCTGGAGAACGTAGACCTCTGCTCCAGGACTTGCCTTCTTTCTCCCAGTTTGACCAGTTTAGCAAAGACTAACGGTGGCCAATCTAGTCTAGTTATTAAGAGATCCAGTGGAAAGGAATAAAAAAAAAGCAACACATTTTAAAAGAAAAGAAAAACTAGAAGAAAAACTCAAAAAAATATCAATCTTAGCCAAATGAATGGAAAAAAAAATCACCTCTGAGTTCTTACCTGCCATGACAGATGCAAAAGGCTGCTGAGGGTCAAAGGGACATTTCAGTCTGCCAGATTCTAAGTTGTGAGAATTAAATCTGAACGTTACATCCTGTATAGAAAGAAGACACATCCATTAGTTCAATGCTTCAAGTGGGAGGCAGTCTGTATTTAAAGAGAGTCAGTTGTTATACTGTTGAACTAAGACTGAGGAGATCCAGAGTCTGAGGAGATTCAGAGTCTGAGGAGACCCAGGAAACACCTCAGCCACAGAGGTTCTGGATCTGATTTGGTTCTTGGCCCTACCTTTTTTCTCTGTTGGGAGAGAATATTGAAAGAAAGAGTATTATGTACTTCCTCTTGGAGTTAAAACCAGATAAAGAAGAAAATAATAAGTAAAGTAGATTATGAGTTTCAATCTGCTTTACAGATATCTATAACTAATGGTATAGGGTTATCTGCCTGAGCAGGGGGTTGGACTTGATGACCTCCAAGGTCCCTTCCAACATCATCATCATCATTATCATCATCATCATCATCATCATCACCACTATTAATATAGAGTTTGCATGCAGGGCTCTGTTTGAAGAAGCTCAGCTCCTAAGAGCCTTTGTTCAAATGCTCTTCACCCTTCTCTGATTTGACACAAAGCTCTACAGATACAACACTTACTGTCTCCACCGTTGATTTTTCCTGTCAGAAAAAAAGAGAATATTCTCTTTTAACACAGGTACAGCTAAGGATGGGCCAGGAAAGAGCTGAATGCAATATTCTAGCAAGGTGGCTGAGAAAAAAATTGCCAATTGGGTGCAAGTGGAGACATGATTAATTTGGTTCGCACACACCTCCATTGACTACACTGATATAATTTTAACCAAACACATAATTATATGTATTTTAGACCAAAACTAGCCTAGTTAGCACTTCCCTTGCCTATTTCCTGGCTACATAAAGATAGTTTGCCTCAGTCACAACCTACCTGTCCAGCAGTGACAGAGTAAAAGAAATACTGCAAAAGAAAACAGGCTTCGAAAAGCAACCCAGAAAAGTATTTTCAGTTTTTAGAAAGGACGGAGGGTGCCAGAGCAATTCAGTTACGCTTCAGTGCAGAACTGAGCCGAGTTACGCAACCTCACAACCGCCAGCAAATGTTTGGAGCTCCAGTTCTTCTAGTTTCCAATTGGCCCAACTCATTTATAATGCATTCGGTCCAAATTAATCATTTTAAATGGTGCCCTTCCCAGGTCAGCGCATAAAAAAGAACTGGGAGGGAAAAGAAACAAAGGGCTATGAACGGCGTTTGACCTCTGGAATCTCCATGATCCAAGATGGCATCTCTTTAATGCTGAGCAGAACAAAGATCAGAGAAGAGCCTTCCGTTGTGGATGGCTACGACTCTCCCAGAATTATGCCCTCTTAGAGAGCTATCAGCTGGCCAGTTTTCTCTGGGAAACTTAACAAAATGAACATGATGGTGACAGCTTCCAATCCTCATCGGTGTGTTTATTATAGGTATAGCCAAGAGACTTCTATGGAATTTAGATTAAATTTGGCATGAACTTTAGTGGCAGCCGGCCTAGACTTGTAATCTCATCGTGCAAAAATATGCGAACTTCTTGGAAAAGGATTTAGAAAGCTTAAAATCAGGTCGAGAAGGAATCTGCTCTCCAGCCAGACATTTATTTTTTCTACAGAACTTTATCGTCAGGTAGCCCTGAGGCTGACCAGTAGGTAGGGAGGGAAGAACGGGCGGCATTGAGATTAGAGTCTAGACACCGCCAAGAAATTGAGGTCATATTTCTTGATAATTAACAAAATTAATATAGCACTTACCTAGCCTTTCCAAGATACAGAACAAAATAGAAAAAAAAGTGGTGCTACTGTAGATTTTCTTTATTTATGCAGAGGAAAAAAATACAGTTCTAAGACTTTGCTTTCCATTTTGGTTTAGTGGGATGATGACCAAATGTTTTAGTTTCACAGCAGATGTTTAGTCTTAATTTTCCTCCTCCTCCTCCTCCTCCTCCATCTCCATAACTAATGAATATGTACTTTGCAATTCTAATTTCACCTCTCATCCATAATGCTGAGAGATGGACAAAATACACAGAGTGGTTTCAAGGTGAAACTTTGCTCGGTAGGCATCAAAAGTAGAATGATCCAGCTTCAGACCGAAGAATCTCCTCAGAGTCTATTCAAAAAGGATTCGGGGTTTTTCCTTTCATTTACAACCACCCCCTGCTAGCCGAAGGCCCTGTAAGGCATCCAGGCTAAAATGTGCTCTTGAGGCTATTAATCATCTGATAAAAGCAAGTCTGTATCGAACCACATTAATCACCTCATCTGAGCCAGAGGTTTGCCAACATACCAATATTCAAAGATGTGAGAACATGAGTTCTTACATGATTTGGTAAAAATGTCACACCGCCTAGTTGTCAGCAGTGGCTGTCAGATCATTTTTATAAGGCCTTAGATTCTCTCGCGCGCTGTTTTTAAATTTTCCATGGAAATGATGGATGCTAGGAAAAGTCATGGCCCATTTGGGGAAGAATTAAATTACCTCTTTGTGTGTTCCAAGCTCAATGTAGCCACAGACTGGGTGAAAAGCTCCTGTACCGCAGACATAAACATGAGTCTTGTTGTAGGGCTGAAGGACTCTGATAAAGTTGGCACATTCTGTCTATTGTGAAAAGAAGCACAGACCATATCAACTATTATTAACACCCAGAGGGCAGTTCAATATGCCATACAATGCTAAGGGAAGATACAAAGGACCCTGAGCAATTGCATTTATCTTGTAAGATTACCAGCTTCTGAATAGAGTTCATTATATTTAAAAATAACCATTGCTCTCACACCCTGCTTGGAGTTTTTTGTGTTGCCTGAATCAATAAAGCATTGCTGCTCTCCCAAGGAAGGAGGTTTACAAGGGGATGGAAAGGATAATGAAAACTGGTGCAACTCTTTGAACACCCACTTGCTTATTGTACCCATGAAAGCTCAAACAATGGGCCTGCTTGTGAATTATAACAAGGTCAAACCGAATTGGCAGGAAGATGGACACATGTAGCAAGATGTGATAGGAACAGACAATGGCATGAAAAAAACGGATATTAAGCAGCTTCATCTCAGAAGACTTACAAACATATTTATTGCTCATCGGATTGGCTTTGATGTTTGGATTTATTTATTTTTTCATTCCCCACCTTCTCGAATTAAAAGTTCTCTAGAGTAGGTTTCTGATTACCCTTTGGGAACTAACCATTCCTTTATGCTATCTCCAGAGGCGCTCTCTTTAAATCAGCCACAAAGGACAGCAAAAAATGGGCTCTCTGCTGTCATATGTTTGGACGTCTTCCATTCTTAGTGTCCTGTGTTTAGGTCTTGCTCATTTTCAGCAGAAATCAAAAGGTTGACTCAGCCTTCCATCCTTCTGGGGTAGGTAAAATGAGGACCCAGATTGTTGGGGGCAATGTAAATATATATATACATTGCTTACTGGTGTACACCGCTTAGAGAGTGCTTGCACTTAAAGCGGTATATAAGTCTCATAAATAAATAAATAAATAAATAAACTCCTGTTGACTTCAGAGGACTAATGTTGGAATCTGGGGATCTGCTTGCTGCAGATTACTCTGTAATGCAGGCTGCCCTTTCCCTCTAACCCAGTGTTTGTCACACAGCAGCACCTCAAAACTCATCACGTAGCCTCCCCCAACATCTGCTGGGTCAGATCCCTGATTAAAAATATTTGTTAAAAGGAGAATACAAAGGAAGCCTGCTTTATCACAGGTTTCCCTCCTATTCATTAATCACACTGGGGGCATTTCCAGGCAGAGCAGCAAACAGCAACTACCATTACTACTTTTTCTTTTAATAACTTTCATTTGAATTTTGGATGTATTTCACAGCCCCCTGTGCAGCAAATCCCTTATTCTGCAAGAAATACGGATAGAGATACCAGGATTTTTTGGAGCAGAAAACTTCTCTTCGTGATCTGAACTTTTTGACTTATCCTTCTCTTTTCTCAAGTACAGCCAACTTGGACAGAAATGGCAGAGCCACAGAGCAGAAGCACCAGCAAGCCGGGCAGAATTCATTTTACAACTCATGTATCCACATTCCTTCTGGGAGTGGCCGGCAACAGGAAACAGCCCTGAACCCCACATTTAAGTATCACTGGTCTCAGCAGAAATCAGGGCCTTCCAAAAGCAGGGCTTTTACAAGCCAAAGTTGCAAAGGGCACATTGTAAAAGCGGGTCATATGGAAACTTGGAAGAAAGTCTGGGCAGATTGATCCATGTCATAGTGGGTGGAGTGGCCAGAAATGGCTGGATAGTGTTTTACTAGCTCAGGGGTAGGCAACCTTGGCTCTTTTATAACTCGTGGACTTCAACTCCCAGAATTCCTGAGCCACCATGGCTCAGCTTGGAAACCTCTCCCTTTCTCCTCAGCATGGCTGGCTCAGGTATTCTGGGAATTGAAGTCCACGAGTCATAAAAGAGCCAAAGTTGCCTTCCCCTGCCCTAGGGCCTAGAGCAGGGGTAAGCAACCTTGGCTCTTTTATGACTCGTGGACTTCAACTCCCAGAATTCCTGAGCCAGCATGGCTCAGCTTGGAAACCTCTCCCTTTCCCCTCAGCATGGCTGGCTCAGGAATTCTGGGAGTTAAAGTCCACGAGTCATAAAAGAGCCAAGGTTGCCTACCCCTGTACTAGCCAGACAAAACCCCATGATTAGCTGAGCAGGATGGGCATATCAGCATGGCTTGGTAGCTGAGGAAGTCTCTGTGAAACACAGACAGCTCTTTGGCTTTTCCGCTGCTTGCTCGTTCCAAAGGATGTGGTCTAGAAGGGATGCTGAGGCCCAAGGAGAAAAAGATTGCTGCAACCTTCATCTGGCTAGGTCTACAAGGGTGAACTAAAAGAATGTTGCTACGGGAAAGGGGAGAGGGGAGGCATGCTCCACCACTATTCCTGGATCTTGAGACAATCTGAAGTTTCCTGCAATCTAGGAATAAAATGGCACCTGCAGATGTGAGGGAAAGTTCATCTCAACCATCTGCCATGAGAAGGGATGGAGAGGGGGGGGTGAGAGAGAAAGAGAGGGAGGGTGTGAGAGAGAGAGGGAGGGAGGGAGAGAGAGAGAGGGAGAGAGAGAAAGAAAGAAGGAGAGAGAGAGAGAGAGAGAGAGAGAGAGAGAGAGGAAGACAAGAGAGAAGAGCTGGACATAGTTCAGACAGAACAGGAAGAGAGCGGCATTCAGGCACTGCATCAAACAAATACATCATAATGAAAATTTGTCTACAGGGAATTCTCAACAGCTAGATTGCCCTCAAAGGGAGGACAATCGGCTGGAAAATCAATTTAAGTCATTTATGGTGTGGGAGTCTGGGAAAAGATCTGGCAGTTGATGTTACTGAAGATGTTTCAACATTGACTTTGAAGAGGGACAACATAGGCTGAAAAAAAGGGGGAAAAAAACATGTCCAGGTGACATATGAGAAGAAGCAGGTTGCAGCATTTTCAATTCCATCTTCCTTTCTCTTTTTCTGATCATCCTAAAGTGGCCTCTTGCAGCAAATTACATCTTCATAATGTTTCCACTACAATATTCTACATATTGTAATGTCCTTAGGGGATTAACGATGAAAGAGGGTTTTTTTAGCAAAAAGAAACAAAATTCAGAATACCAGAAGGAAACATAAAAGAGAAAGGAGAATGAAATGAAAGAATTCAAGTTAAAAAAAAAAAAAGCATTCTGATCCCTCTTCAATATGCATGGGTCAGCCTGCACCCAAAACCTTGTGTCTAATTCTGGACATCACATTTCAGAAAGGCCATGGATGAACTGAAGCTTGATCAGAGATTTCATTCCAAAGAAGGGAAGGGTTGAATGTAGTTGGGCTACAAAGAAGAGAAACCTACAAGAAGCCATGATAACTTTGTCTAGCATCATGTAGAAGATTGGACAGGATTACTCAGATTTTTTTTTCCCAGAAGACAAAACAACAAAACATGGGTTTAAACCAGGAATGTCCAACCTCAGCAACTTTAAAATCTATGGACCAATGCCCAGAATTCCTCAACCATTCTTGCTATCTGGGAATTGAAGTCCTCGAATCTTAAATTGGACATTCCTGGTTTAAACCATTAGATTCTGATTAAGGAGAGGCTGGATAGTTATTTTTGTATCTCCTGGACTAGATGAACTTAAGATCCTTTTCAAGTTATCCACTCTGATTCTGTGAAATATTAAATCTTGGAGGGAACAAAGAATATATTCAAGTGGGCTTTCCATGACAAAGGACAATAATGCTTTTTTTCTTCTGTCTGATTTCCATTTGCATGATTGGGCTGCCATGAGATGGCGGTGTGGGCTAGCTACTCTTGGCCAAACCAACATCTGAATGTAACATCTTCTTATAGGACCTGTTGGTGTCAGGAGCAAAGAGATTTAAAAGCATTGAAAAATGAAGAAGAAATCTTCAGCAGAGCACAAATCCAAACAAAAATGGCTCCTGCTTTGACGGTGGCAACATTTTTGACTAATCGTTTTATTTATTGCTGCAGGAGAAATTAATGAGCCTCTTTTTGTGGTAAAGGACACACAGCCCTTTAAGTGCAGCCAGCAGCAAGCCCCTTCTATTTTAGGGCTTGGGGTGGTGCAAATTGGGCTGAGTAAACCATGAGTCAGATAACCCTCAGAGACGACATTATGCCAACACCACCATGAGTTCAACAGCAGAGGCTTTGCTAGATCAAATAAAAGAGACGTTAACAACCAAATTCATTTCAAGTCACCTGATTCCACCAATGTACAGATTGTAATCGTAAAACTGAGGGGGGGTAAAAAAGCAATATACTTACATGGGCATCTTTCCCGGCTAGTTTACATAAATCCACTTTTTCCTTTGCTGCGGGCCAAAATATCTGCAAATCATTTAGAAACGGGTCTTAGGATCAGATGATTTTGTTATTCTTGACTTAAAATATATTTATACATTCACTTCTCTATTACATCAATGCAAGCATGATACAGTATATTACCAAACCTCCACCATCCTCTGTGCAGGCCCAGACCTACATTGGGGAAGGAGCTGGCCTAAAACATGGACAGGATCCCTAGTGATCCTCCCCAGCTGAAAGGTGTCATTTGCCCCCCACAGCAATCCCATGAACAAAGACTAATTTTGCAAAGATTGCAGGCATGGACAGGAACGATGCGTTAGTTTTTAAACACTGATTGTCACCAGATTTTCCTGGCTTTCACTATGCTAAAATCCTATGTGAAAGAAGGTAAAATATTTAACAAGCATTAAGCACATTCAATAAAATAAAATATGAAATCAGCAGCTACATTTAAAATTAAAATTCTTATATAAAGCCCTGCAAACATTAAAAATGTTTTTGCCTCATGGAGAAGCATCCATTAGTTGGGTGTACTATCTATATCTCAAAACATATATAATTGCAGGTAAATGAAATGCCTGAATACCTTAAAAAAATATATTTTGTTTTCCATGTCCTCCTCCTATTCCCCACCCAACTGCCTTGGATTATTATTTTTTCCCTTTTTTTAAAAAAAAAGGTTTTATTTCATTTATTGGATAGTTTAATTTAGGGCTTTATTCTTGAGAAAGACTAGGTCTAAGAATACTGTCCCCAAATTACATTCTATGCCTAGATCAAAGCATGCCTTAATAATTAATGACTGTAAAAATAAAGATAAAAAACACTTAGAATAAACTTTGTGATCTGTTACTCACATTCACTTATAACAATACTTATTTGTAAATATATACAACTTTATGATCTAATCACTATTTAGGCCTACGCAGAGTATGAATGGGGCCTGCTCCCTAAAGATGTACATTTTGCTATCGCTAGAAAAAATTGTGCCAAGTTTATAACTGTTGCTCAATGACATAAATTTTAATTTTTGGCTTTGATTTCAACTGTATCCATTTCATTCTTATTGTTTATGTCCTTTTGTTTTCTTCAAATTGTTGCAAACTACCTTCAAAGATGGTATAAAGACAAAAGGGCAGGGTATGAATGATCCCAGTGAACATATCTCAGGGACTGCCACAAAGAAGAGGGAGTCAAGCTATTTTCCAAAGCACCTGAGGGCAGCACAAGAAGCAACGGATGGAAACTAATCAAGGAGAGAAGCAACCTAGAACTAAGGAGAAACTTCCTGACACTTAGAACAATTAACCAGTGGAACAACCTGCCTCCAGAACCAGTGAATGCTCTAACACTGGAAGTTCTTAAGAAGAAACTGGACAGCCATTTGTCCGAAATGGTATAGAGTTTCCTGCCTGAGCAGGGGATTGGACTTGATGACCTCTGGAGAGAAAAAGAGAAGTTCCCTGAGAATGGGCTCCAGCACTAAAACCTTTAGTCCTGGTGACTAACTTGGACTGGATCCTGAGTTGGTTTAGCCTTTAGAAACATCAACCAAGTCATCACCCTTTTTTAAACAGGCTGATTCTCTCTTGTTCCAAATTACAGGACATAAACTTTTGGGAGGCAGATTCAAAGTGACTGTTGGGGGATGAAAGGAGCCTTTATAATATAGTACCGTATGACCAATCCAGAAGACTGGTGGCTTTCTTCACCAAGCAGAAACTAGATGGTCATCTGCCCAGGGCAAACTGAGGCTGGATTCAACAATTCCTTCCAACTCTCGTATTCTGTGGCTCTAGGATATGAAGCAGTGGCTCCTTTCACTCCTGTTTCACTGCAGGTGGCCTTTGACACCAGGAACAATATGTAACTCAGACCTCATAATCATCATGGCCATCAATAAGCTTTTCCTCTGTGGGATCCCCTGCAGGAGGAACAGGATCCTCCAGATGGAAGGGAAAGCACCAGGCGTTCCATAAATCTGGAGCTAATGAACCACACGTGATGGGAGCAGTGGATATTTTCATTGGGTTGATTTACGATTCCTTTTCAAAAGGAAAGCGGAGACAGTGAGGGATGGCTCAGAATATTCCCATTGTATTTTTTTTTTTAAATGACTGGGGCTTTAATACTGAGATTGTAACTCAACTTATAAGTGAGGCTGCAACTGACAATATGTAGAGCGGCACGTTTTCCACACAGAAAACTAGTAGCTCACCTAGTGATGGATTTACCCCTGTCCACATGGGTGGAATGAAAGTGTCAGATGGCTACAGAAGAGGAGAATGGAAATCAGATGTGGTTTTTCTTTTGGTTGGCTTCAAAGAGCAAGTCATGGCTTGAGTCTCTCCCCCTAGTGCTGAGATTCTCCAGCTATATGTACAGGGGTTGAAATGTGCTTGAAAAATTAAGTTACTTGTATGGCTCACTCGTCTTTATTCCTTATGGCAGAGAATTCCCAGGTGAATAGATTTTTTTTCCCCAGTACCCATTCTAAGCCATGTTAGCCTATGACAGACAGAAATCAGAAGGCATCTGGCCAATAGCCTTATTGACTGACAAATTTTATTAAGAGGCATAGGGGTTCATGAGTTCAGCTCATCAAAGTGTATGCTTTTTAGTGAAATTGCTAGCTAACAAAGATGCTATACCAGACTCCTTCTGAATCTTCATGGCTCATGGATGACTCCAATGGAAAGTACTGAACTAAATATTTTTATTGATTTGTTTATTAGGTTTATATGGCCACCCATATTTCAAAAGTGACGCTGGGTGGCATACAACAATTGTGTAAAAAATATAAAAATAATCATTATAAAAATATAAAAACCATGATTTACATTGAAATAGGCAAACCACAAGGAACAGCAAAGAGTGAATAGCAATAGCACTTAGACTTATATATCGCTTCATAGTGCTTTACAACTCTCTCTAAGCCAGTGCTTCTCAAATAGTGGGGCGGGCCCCCCAGGGGGGGCGCGAGGCTCCGTAAAGGGGGGCTCGTTTGACCTCGGCAAATACTGTCATATTGGACGCCCGTGACACACGCAAAGGACCCGATTGGATAGACAGTCGCGCAGGGGGGCGCGAAATGTTTTCTTCTTCCTAGGGGGGCATGACAGAAAATAATTGAGAAGCACTGCTCTAAGCCAGTGTTTCTCAACCTTGACAATTTTAAGGCATGTGGACTTCAACTCCCAGAATTCCACAGCCAGCATTGCTGGCTGTGGAATTCTGGGAGTTGAAGTCCACATGCCTTAAAATTGTCAAGGTTGAGAAACACTGCTCTAAGCTGTTTAAAGAGTCAGCATGTTGCCCCCAACAATCTGGGTCCTCTTTTTTTTTTTAAAGAAAATTTTATTGATTTTCTAGTTTTACATTCAACTATTTGAAAAGCAACGTGGCAGCTGAGTTGGTCAATAATTCAGTAACATACAAATATCTTTAGTACAGATCTCAAACTATTACATTAAATATTTCCTCTCTTTTCCCCTTGGTATTTACCGTCTCATATTTAAATTAATACAATTTCTTATTATATCGATTAAATAAAAATAACTTTCTTGCATTTATCAATAATTTTTAGTTTGTACAGATCCTAGTTGTTTTAACATTCAATCTTTGTAGACAGTATCTGGGTCCTCATTGTACCGGCCTCAGAAGGACGGGAGGCTGAGTCAACCTTGAGCCCCATCAGGATCGAACTCCAGGCAGTGAGCAGTGAGTTTGCCTGCAATGCTGCACTCTAACCACTGGGCCACCAGGGCTCTGAATTTCCACTGAGTGATGGAGCCATTTTAGAATGTCACCGGAGCCCTGGAGCTCCACGCCCAATAACAAAGCCAGGTTTTGAGGGGTTTCTTGGACATTAACAAGGATGGATCTAAGCTCACTTCAGGGAAGTGGAGTCAATATTCCACAAGGCAGAGAAAGCCCACTTCCTGGGACCTATCAGATGAAGTATTAATATCACTTTACAATGCCTTGGTAGGGCCACACTTGGAATACTGCATCCAGCTTTGGTCACCACAATGTAAGAAAGATGTTGAAACTCTAGAAAGAGTGCAGAGAAGAGCAACAAAGATGATCAGGGAACTGCAGGCTTTACAATATAAGGAACGATTGCTGGAATTGCGTATGTCTAGTTTAATGAAGAGAAGGACAAGGGGGGGACATGATAGCAGTGTTCCAATATCTCAGGGGCTGCCACAAAGAAGAGGGAGTCAAGCTATTTTCCAAGGCGTCTGAAGGCAGGACGAGAAGCAATGGATGGAAACTAATCAAGGAGAGATGCAACCTAGAACTAAGGAGAAACCTCTTGACAGTTAAACAATTATCCAGTGGAACAACTAGCTGAGAAGATGATCTGTCTGTCAACATGTGCAAAAGTGATGCAAATGAAATGGTCAAGTGCTTTCCTGCACCTGCAAATTATAGTTATTGTTGTGATATTCCCAGATTTCTCTCATAGTCATAAATTCAGTTTCTCTGCTGGGTTTGGGGCTGGGTCAGCTTGCTGGAATCGGGAAGGACATGGTCTCTTCCTCCCAGTGCCTCTTCAAGTGACAGAATTTTCCATTTCAAGCAGACAATATTTCAAATACTGTATTCATTTTTCTCTGCAAGACTCATGGGTGAGAGAGAACTCAGAGTCCTAATGGACAATCACTTAAATATAAGCCAGCAGGGTGCTACAGCTGCCAAAAAAGCCAACACAGTGCTGGGCTGCATTAACAGAGGGATAGAATCAAGATCACGTGAAGTGTTAATACCATTTTACAATGCCTTGGTAAGGACACACTTGGAATACTGCATCCAGTTTTGGTCACCACAATGTAAAAAAGATGCTGAGACTCTAGAAAGAGTACAGAGAAGAGCAACAAAGATGATTGGGGACTGGAGGCTAAAACATATAAGAACGGTTCTGCTGGAATTGGGTATGTCTAGTTTAATGAAGAGAAGGACGAGGGGGACATGATAGCATCTTCCAGTATCTCAGGGGCTGCCACAAAGAAGAGGGA